TGGACTCGAACCGCTGAAGCGTCGACCATTTCTGGCCGGCAACTTTCAGCGTTATTAAGCCACTGCGCCACCGCGTCCCCCTATCTCATCCTTTATCTATTAGTAAATAATAAAACCATCAATCTTAATCAGCAAAAGTCCATTAAGAGTTACCAGAAATAACAATATATATAACATTAAACAAGTAAATTAATTTCCTTTCCTTTCCTTTATACTTATCATTTTGTCTAAAAATACAGCAACAAAAATCTCTTCCCATATTTTATCTTATATCTATAAACAAACCTACAAAAGCTTGTTCAAACTTAATAAGAAAAAATTCCATTAAGAGCTACCAGAAAATCTTAATCTTTAAAACCTTCAAATAATATCTTACAAATTAATTTCTTATCATTTTCTCTTTGTCTCCTCTCAGAAATTCCTTCACAATCTTTCTTTCAATTTTAACATCATAATCCATCACTTTCTCTAATCATACAACAAAAATGCCTCTTCTCCCCACATCTTATCTAATAGTAAATCTTGTCATTCAGTCCTGGTCAAGAAAAATCCATTAAAAACTACTAGAAGAAAAAACTTCATATATTTTAACCTTGATTGAACAAACTGACTTTATAATCCTTACTTTTGGTTTTAAAAGCCTTGATGTTTATTCCTTTTAAGGAATGTCCCAAAAAGCTGATTTATTTTCATTCTTTCTTTATCTTTTCTCAGAAACTCCTTCATAAATGTAATATATCTCTTTTGTAAGTCCAAAATAAGAAAGTCCAAGTCACTCTTCTGCATTGAAATCGACACATCCAAGTTACTCTTCTGATTTATTATTTGTATGTCCCTTTTAGCTATTAAAACATCAGCCAGTTTCCTTTGTAAGTTCTGTGTAGCATCTTTGTAAATATCATTTTTGTATTCTATCATATTTAAATCCATATCCAAAACAGCCTGATTCTCAGTTGAATCCTCTTCTATCGCCTCTTTACAACCCATTTTTATAGTATCAGAGGGTGGAGTCTTACTCACCAGCCCAGCCACACACGTTTTTCTGTGCGCCTGCCTTTTAATTCTATACTATTTTAAATAGTTTATTTTACATTTTTTTCTCCTTTTAGATAGCGCCAGTCAAATAAGTATATTAGGCTAATGTAGATTTTAAATTAGATTCTTATTATTAGATTACTTTAAATATATTTACAATTTTCTACAAAAAGACGATTATGGAGTAAAAGTGTCTGACCTGACTGCCCAACATGGGAAAAAGGAAGAAGAGACATGGAATTAGCCTGGGTTCTCGCTCCTCCTCAAAATCAGCTAAACAACCAAAGATAGAACTTTTCACACA